ATGATGACATTGTGTCTAATGTCGAAAGTACTCGGAATAAATGAATATGTATCAAAATGGTAATTTTCTCTCTTCCTTTAATAAGGATGCTAAGAATCTTGTCAAAATAAGTAGAAAAAACTTGACTAAATTATTCAGGGAGACATATCTTAATGAAAACATCCTGCCAAAATTTACGCAATACACACACACACACACATATATATATATATATATATATATATATATAAAAGAAATATGTTGTAGTGGTTCCAACGAGAGAAAAGTATGTATATTAAAAAGAAGAGAAGAGAGGTGCCGCAAACGTTTTTGGTTGTAATGTGGATTTATTTAGAAAAAAAATATTATGCTTTGTTTTACATAATTTTACGACACGTGTTTCTGGTCTCGCGACCGTCTTCAGGTAAAAGGAGATTTCCACATATTACTAAAAATAATTAATTTTTCCTTATGTTCAATGTTAAATATTCTCGATATGAGAAATTCTCTGTTTTGTGTTGATAATCCGAATTTCTTTCTTCACTTTTATATTTAAATATATATATATATATATATATATATATATATATATATATATATATATATATATATAGAGAGAGAGAGAGAGAGAATTAATATAAGTGAAAAGGTTTGTCATTTAGCTGATTGATGTTACCTTCAGCACCTCAACGAAAGAGTTTCTTCCTTGGCTACAAATAAAAAGCATGAGGACATTACGGGAATTATAAATATTTTCAGTCTAGCACGAATTCTGCTAAAAAACACTCAATAGATAACTTGAGCTATGATCAACAAATCAAAGGAAGCCTATGTGACTTATCACGGACAGATGTTCAAAAATTCAATTTATCTAACATCCGACCGTGATGAACGTTTCCAAATTCTCGAGTTAGTCAATCAAATAAACCAGTTGCACTTTTTCTTGGTTAACTCTTGCAATTGTTACATTTTATTTTGGTGAATTTTCGATGTGTGGCGTCTTTGGTTTTTGAGCCCTACCCTCCTCAGACAGTCATGGTCATATTAATTCTACTTTAGATCAGATTCTTTGGTAACATTTTCATGGAAATTATCATAAAGATTCCGACGAATATCTTGTAATAAATACGAGGATTGGAATTTAATCTGGCTGTTAACCTACATATAACCCTTGTGTATATCCGTTACCAGAGTATCGCTCGAAACCAAATATAGGCATTGCCGATGTGGCTTTTAATTCAGTTAGGAGTTTACATTCTCGTGTGCAGTTGTGGCAAAATCCGCCTCGTTTGAGGCAGTCGTTATATTAATACTTTACTGAATTTCAAATATCATTTTATTCCAACAACTGAGGCACATTATTAGTTGCATAACGCGTAGTGAGTGACTTCTCTCTGTGTCTTAGTTAAACTTTCAAATGCCTGCCGTAATTTGTCAAACCAGACTGCATTCAATACACATACTTTTCAAGTAAACTGACATTCAGACACTTACGAATTGAGTTTTTCATGCGCAGAACGACTCACTTATTTTTTTTTTAATTTATTCGGATCGATTTCGCCCCGAGCAAAGCAATAAAGTCAGTGAAACACAAAGAGTTAGTGGACGTGGAGGAGTTGAAAACAGAATCATTTCTCAGGACAAAAGAAAAGTAATCTGGATGATAGTAGACAGTGATTGATATTGCATTTAAATTTTCGCAGATTAAAGTTGACTGTAATCCACGTAGCCGGAAAAGAGTTACACAAGCAAGAAGTGCGACAGAAGAAATTGTTAGCATTCTCGTATTTCACTTAAATTCAAAGCGTCTCGGCAAAGAGATCACCCAAACAATTACCATGAAAGTATTTACGGAAAAAGCAGAGGGAGGGGCAGACTTAGGGCAGTAGGAAAGAGACTGAATCTGAGACGCCAGTAATATTGCTGATTATTCTTTGGATTTTATAAATGAACTCTAGGCAGAAAATGGGATTAGAAATTTCATTTTCAGGCACGCTTGCTACCATGAGTCGCAATTGATTCTTGCTGGTATGTCTTTCGTTTATCATACTCCGTAACTGTTGTGGCCTTGTTAGGGCCAGATGTAAAGACACAAAGAGAGGAATTGAGTTAAGCAAATGTATTACCAGAAACTGTAATACAAACATATATAAACGAGAGTGTTACAGCAAGAATGTTCGGTCCGACTGTCAAAACTGACTGCTGGAAACTTCCCTCTCCAAAAAGGCAGTACCTGCTCCTATTTATAGCTGAAAGAGTCCATGCGTGCGTGGGTAAATTACCATAACAACATATAAAATAATTCACATATACATTAGGTTTGATCGTTGTAAATGACATAATATCTAAGTGAATTGAAATTGATTATGACAAGTTTAACAACGTCGGAATTTGCGAAGCACGCAATTTTAACATTATGCGAAACTAGTAAACTTGATAACATCTGTAGTAGCTGTTAAAAGAACTAGAATGTTGTCAATGTTGATGGATACAATAAAAGAAACATATATATATATATATATATATATATATATATATATATATATATATATATATATATATATATAAAACCTGCGTGGAGGGTCGTAAGGGGAACCTTGTGGCATGCATTCGGTGCACCAGGTTTCTGTATTCGTCCCTCCAAAAAGTGTGGCTGATCCTGCACGAGGCCTTCACCACTATAAACAAATCTCATGTGCCGGTGTCGGGATGTTGGTTTCCTGGGGACTTATCGGCCTGACCCTCACGTCGAACGCGACGTCGAACGATTATATATATATATATATATATATATATATATATATATATATATATATATATATCAGGCATAATATCCATCTCACGCACGGTGAATACTAGACCTGGTTTCTTTAATATTTCCCCTTTTCTAGCGAGATTAATGCTCGACAAGCGTATATATAAATTTTAGTTCAAAATAGAATTCTTTTCATTTTTCATTCAAAATACTCAAAATTTTAGGAATAAGTTTTCTCAGCGTCGCCCACGTGACAACAACGTGACCATGTTTTAAACGGAGCGCTGATCTTATAAAACTTTCAGTTATTTGTTTGGATAAGTCTTGTTCTTATGTACATCGTCTTTGTCATATTGTATTGATAATGTTATATTTATGAATATGTCCTGAAGATGGTTTATTAGACCGAAACGTCCGACGTTGACATATTAACATTAAAAAGCAGCATAATTGTATATAAGGATTTTTTGTTTTGTTTTTTCCGTATATATTTTTTTTCATACTGTCGGATCTATATCCATATATTTTATATATATATATATATATATATATATATATATATATATATATATATATATATATATATATATAAGCAAATGTAAATGGATATCGATCCGACAGAATGAAGAAAAATTTGGAAAAACAAACAAAAATCCTTAAATGCAATTATGTTGTTTAAAATGAATGAAATGTCGATGTCTGACGTTTCGGTTTAATAAACCTTCTTCAGGACAATATTCATTAAAAATACAATTCAGTTCAATTTGACAAAGACGATGGACATAAAACAAGTCTTATCCAAAACAGATAACTGAAAATTTTAAAATGATCAGCTTTCCGTTTTGCATGGTCACGTTGTCGTCACATGGGCGACGCTTTCAAAACATATTCCTAAAAAAGTTTTGATTATTTTGAATGAAGAAGAAAACAAACATATACAAACGACAGTGTTACAGCACGAACGTTCGGCCCATCTGTCAGAACTGACTGCTGGAAATTTCCCTCTTCAAAAGGCAGTACCTGCTCCTATTTATAGCTGGGAGAGCCCATACATGCGTGGATAAATTACCATAACAGTAACAATTTTCTATTTACATAAATTCCTGGGGATGTCAATGTAATAATGATGAGGGGGTTATGCTGATAGCATAAGCATACCTAGTTGGGATAAGAAGGATCAACATCATCTGTCAAGTGTTTTAAGAAGTAGGGTTCAAGATTACCCTGTTCAAACATAAATCATGATCAAAAACTGGAAAAAAGGCAGTGATGGCTCATTCCCAGAGAAATATTCACGGTGTGGAAATATAAAAAAATAAACCGTTTATTATCTGTCAATATTTCTGAGATGAGGTATTATGTACACTATTTACATTATTCGGACTATTGTCCTCATCTTTGTCGCCATATTTATCACGTTTCGGCCGTTGTACGCTCCGGCCTTCAGGTGGTTGGAATGTCGAACTGAATCATTTATTTTCGCTCACTAGGGTAGACTGTTCTAGTTCCACGTGCCATGTTTAATGGATGTCAGTTATCAGTTATCTCCTGTTAATTCCCCTCTGAAAGTTCTCCACTGCCTTAACCGAGTATTGAACTCAAGGACACATGACACAGTGGATAAAGGACTTGGTTAGATCCAGTGACAGGACCCAAACAGCGTTAGTTCAATAAGTTAAAGACAATTAGAACTTAAATTCAGTGTATTCCACGAGTCAATCCTCATGAACGATGATTGAGCTGACACATTCGCGTTGAGAGACATACGCGGAAGACGCACACACGCTATTCTCAACCATACGACACTTTGCTAACTTTTGAAATAAAAATTCTTTCACCTGTAAATACGATCGGTAAAATTTAGGAGGTGATGGAAGAGAATGCAGGAAAGAAAAGTGAAAGAGAAAAAAAGGACGAAGCAGACGACAAAAATCACGTGGTATATAACAGCCAAGAAGTAGAGAATTATACGAATAAAATAATAATAAAATTATAAAAATAAACTAATAGCAAAAAAAAAATAGTAGCTTTTGTTTCATCTTCACCCTATTGTTAAAAATAACAATCATTGGTGTCGATATCTGATTTTATTGACGAAAATGTTCTTGACAGTATTTTTTTTTATCCGGTTTAATGGAGAAGACAAGGTGGGTATTACCTTGGGTATACTCTATTGTAAAATGGCTGATCAAAAACTCTAGAGGGAAAGAAACTCTCGAGACATCTTTTGTGTCCCTTAAATAGCAATTAGAATGGAACAAAGCCCATGGCAATCGTTAAAGTAATTCATAGGAGCTGTGATAGCGGTTGTATATTGTTATTTAAATCTGTCTATCTATCTATCTATCTATCTATCTATCTATCTATCTATCAGCTATATTTATACATGTACACACACACATACACACATATATTGGTAATATATATATATATATATTTAAATTTATGTAAATATATATATATATTAATAATATGTATACACAGACACACACACACAGACACACACACACACACACACACACACACACATATATATATATATATATATATATATATATATATATATATGTGAAAAGTGAATATAAATATAAATAAATATATATATATGTATAATTATTTATATATTATATGCGCGGTACTTATTAGAAAGCGCTCAATATCAGAGATAGAGCTAACATATTTGGTTGGATAGATGTGAGTTTGTGACCCTGGGTTTCACGCTTTAGCGATCGTCAGACAAACTGATTACTGTTTTAAAAAATTGGGGTTTATGTAGATTGCGTGTATTGGTGTTATTGTGGAAGTGGTGGGGGAGATTTCGTCGTTTTGTCATTCATCGTACTAACGCAAACATCGATGTATGCAGACACATATACATATACATACTTGGTCGTCCGTCGGGACTCATACATATATATAAACATATGTAGACAGTTTCGGCTATGACACATGTATGTATACGGGTGGTGTTATATGTCTATACATACGCATTTGTATGTTGAAATGTTGAAATTTAAACATTGGAAGTGTGGCGGAAATGTCTCGTTATTGTCTCGTGAATGTATCCATGTCATATTATGAAATTTTTTTTTTTTTTTTTTTTTCCGTTGAAAAATATTTGAAAAATATTTTCTCGCATGTATGTATATATGTGTGGTGGGGTTTGTGTAAAATTATGATAGGTAAAAATTATTATTAAATTATTTATATTTATTTTTTAAATTTTGAAAAAATGGGGTTTATTTGTTATATTAAAAGCTGGTTATTTGTTTGTTTTTGGTGACTGTGTATATGTAACAGGTAAAAATTGTAATCCTTATTGTTTAATTTATATGGTGATGTTTAATTTAATAACGGGTTTATATGATATGATGTGATAGTAATGTTTCAAAGGATTGGAGACAATGCTAGTTAGGTTTTAGCTAATAGTTATTGTAAACTGGAAGAAATTGCAGATTGGTAGAAATGATTAGTAACGGTGGTGGGAGAATGATAAAACCATGAATGTAGTTATAGTGGTGGTAGCTTGAACTAAAAAGTGGTTGTTGGTGTTTTATTTTTGTTTTATTTTGTTATATGTATTAATTTATTTTGGTATAAATCCTGATAATAGGTATTCTATGTAAAATTATGGTAGTGGAAGATTGCTATAATTTTTAATTACAAAATTATTATTATTATATTAAAGCTGCCTGGTAATAGGTGTTTGTTCTCATGGTTACATATGGAAATTATATCTGATCATATTGTTTTAAAGTATTAAATATGCTGGGGGGTAATAAAAGATTGTAGTGGATTATATGTTAATAGTGGGTGTGATGTGTAAGTGATGGTGCTGTGTGTAGGTGGTAATGATAATATTGATAGTTAATAGATATTGTAAGGTGGTAAAAGTGATTACTAATGGTGGTGCAATTATAATAATGATAGGTGCAATTATTTTGATGGTATCTTGAAATTAAATTGTGATTGTTGGTGGTTTGTCTGTTTTATCCGTTTGGTATGAATTCGGATAATAGATACTTGTTCTCATGCCTACATTTGGAGATTATCTCTGATTTTTTTGTTTAGCAAGTTCTTTTTGCGGTTTGTGTGATATTATTGCTACTTTTTTTCGTGTAGGCAAAGTAGGCATTTTTTCGTAATGTTGTTGTAGGCAGGGCTTTTTTCAATATTTCCCAACTTATTGTTGGTGTGATGTTTTGTTTTTTTGCTGCCATATGTATGTAGAAAGTGTTGTGCTGTTCGAATATTTCCTGTTGTTGAATGAAAGGTTGTGATTGTTATTCCTCATCTTGAATGGACCTTCGGTGGCACCGATGTAGTGCATAGTGTTGTTGTTTGTACTTACCTTTGGCCTTGTATATTGTGTTCGTAATTTGACAATTTCCCTGGAGGACATGTTGCTCTGTTTCTGCAGTTGCATATAGGATCCTTGGTTACATTTTGTAGGTTGTCATTTTTTTGTTGTGGTTTTGATTATATCTGTTATGTTTTTTGTACAGCTGTAACTGATCTTTACGTTATTTTTGTTAAATATTTTTGATAATTTAAATTTATTTATAAATAATTTAATAATAATTTTTACCTATCATAATTTTACACAAACCCCACCACACATATATACATACATGCGAGAAAATATTTTTCAAATATTTTTCAACGGAAAAAAAAAAAAAAAAAAAATTTCATAATATGACATGGATACATTCACGAGACAATAACGAGACATTTCCGCCACACTTCCAATGTTTAAATTTCAACATTTCAACATACAAATGCGTATGTATAGACATAACACCACCCGTATACATACATGTGTCATAGCCGAAACTGTCTACATATGTTTATATATATGTATGAGTCCCGACGGACGACCAAGTATGTATATGTATATGTGTCTGCATACATCGATGTTTGCGTTAGTACGATGAATGACAAAACGACGAAATCTCCCCACCACTTCCACATAACAACACCAATACGCAATCTACATAAACCCAAATTTTTAAAACAGTAATCAGTTTGTCTGACGATCGCTAAAGCGTGAAACCCAGGGTCACAAACTCACATCTATCCAACCAAATATATATATATATATATATATATTTATAAGAAAGTAAGAAACGTTTCTGATCATAATTCATATGACCAACGAATTTTTTTTTTGTTGTTTGTGTTTTTTTTTTTTTTGGTGGGGGGTGGTTAAGTAATGCTTCATATGAAAGGAAACTTTTGCCATTACTTACCTGTTATGTCAAACTGTTCGTTGAGAATGGGGATCTTTCCGTGTGGTGGACCTAAAATGGAAAATAAGACGAGCATGCTGTCTATTCTTTTTTTTTTTGTATCGTCTTGGCTGAGGAGGAAGTGACGTTAATGATTGGTCAGTAGTGGCATTTATTTAATGAGTCCATTTTTTCTTTTGCTTCAGGATCGCCTGCCGGAACAGTACTGTTTCGGTAGGTTCTTTTGGGTGAACAATACCCCAAATCATAACATCACTGACGAGGCGATCCTGAGCACTCATTGGAGTCTTTTCATGACAAGTATGTATATGTATATAATATGTATATAATGCCAATATATATATATATATATATATATATATATATATATATATGCGAAAGTCAGTGTGTCACACTTTTTAAACTCCACTCCTAGAGGACGTGGCCCAACATATCATGCCATTTTGGAACCCGGCCAATTCTGTGAACAAACTGAAACATTTTATTTTCGATTCCTGAATTTTTATTACTGCAAGTTTTTCGGCGATTTTTTATGTAACATTTTTGCTTCGAATTATTTGTACGAATACAACTTTTATAACTTGGACATAAATTTGGAAATAAATTTTTGTATGATAACATTTTTGATAACTTGGACATAAATTTGGGAATAATTGAAATTATCTACAAAATCCAGCGAAAGTCACCCATGAAATAAAAATAATTATTGGCATGGCAAGTAAGGACCTACGTACATCAAACTATCTTTAAGTGGCAGCAGAAGAATTATCGTTGAACTTTTAAAAGTTCAGCTTAAATATTAATGCAATACTTAAATGCAGCGATTAATTTGGAGTTCTTCTCTAGTTCTCTTGTTACTTATCGCATAAAGGCAGTATTGTGCCTTGCAAAAAGAAATCTCTGGTAAGAGATGATCAGATGGCAATCGCGCTAAGTGTATAAACACACAAAATTCAACTACAGCCTTTCATACAACTAAACATAAAAGATTATCAAGTGGTAAATAACACACACCTACCACAATAAATGTACAAAACTGCAAGCGCACTCTAAGTAAAATTACATAATATGACGTATTAAAAATAAATAAACAGTTAACACAAACACACACACAAACAGAAACACATTGACGCGCATACACGAACAAACACAACTCCGGATGAGTGTATGCATGCATGTTTGTATGTGTGCATGCGAGCATACATGCTCATACATTGGCACACGCATACCTATTGGCACACGCATACCTGCACAAACATACAGAGAGAAGACCTAAATTAAATGGTCAAAACAATAGCAATAAACCAGAGATCAACGGAGAGGGTGAGGAAAGAACAAAAAGAAAACAAGCAAGAGAAACGAACAAACAATGAACAGTCATCAAGCAAAAAGGAAAATAATACACAATAAAAGTCCAAAACGATCGAAAAATATTCACCAGTTCAAAGTTTGGTCGCGTCAGTGGAGACATGAAATTTTGAAGTGAATATATATATATATATATATATATATATATATATATATATATATATATATATACGGAGCAACCTTGGTTCACGATCCTCTCACATGGCGAATAAATCTATACATATATATATATATATATAGCGGGTACAAAAACGCTAACATAAGTTATAGAAACGATAGCACGAACAGAAAGAAAAACAGGAAAAGAAAAATCATCCGGTATACCCCTCCGTTCAACCAAATGTTTAGTACTAAGCTAGGACATTAGTTCCTATCTTTAATCGAAAAGCCTTTCCCTACTAAAAGCAGACTTAGCGTGATCTTTAATAAAAACACGTTAAAGTTAAGTTACAGTTGCACTGAAAATCTAGAAAGAATCATAAAAAAACATAATAATAAAACCTTGGAAACACACGCGCGCCAAAACAGTATTAATAAAAATTAAACTAAAATTAGACAAAAATAATGAAAAATTATGTGATTGTAGAAACCCTGATGACTGCCCGTTGGAAAATAAATGTCTCATAAAATCCGTAGTATACCAATGCACTATCTCATCCATTGAGAGTCCTAAAACCGATAGGATATACATTGGGTCAACGAAGAATGAATTTAAAATTAGATGGAGGCAGAATAAAAGCTCCTTCAATAATATTAGAAGTAGAAATCAGACATCTCTATCCAAATATTTTTGGCATTTAAAAGAAATGAATAAAACACTAAAAGTAAAATGGAAAATAATAAGTAGAACAAGAACTTGTAAAACCTGGGATGACCCATGCCCTTTATGCCTTCATGAAAAACTACCCATGATTAAGTTTCTACATAATGAAAATTTATTAAACCATAGACATGAGTTAACGGCTTTTTGCCGACATCCACAAAATTTCGCATTAAATAATTAGCATAAAAATTTCAAAATTGGTTATTCCTAAATTTTCGCTTGAGAATGAAACAGGACTTGTTACTTTAATTCAATTTAATTTTAATAATTATATTGATGGTTTCGGCTCTCGTTTTTGAAACATGAGAACTCTTATTTAGCGAAGGAATCATATTTTTTTAAAATAATTATAGTATATATATATATATATATATATATATATATATATATATATATATATATATTAAGTCATTTAAAATATGGTTCCATTGCTACACAGGCAGTACCATGTTTCAAAAACATTCCAAAATTCGCGTGAAAATGAAAACAGAACTAGGGGTTTTAATTTAATTATATAAATTAATTTGAAGTTTTTAGTTTCTGTTTTTGAATTCCTGTATAGCGATGGAACCATATTTTTAAATCAGTTAATTTATAATATTTGTAATCTGTAAATTTACACTGAGCACTGTTTTGTAAAAATAAAAATATTAATAAGAATACCAGATTATATATCTTACTGTTTTATTTTTTTATATATATATATATATATATATATATATATATATATAAGAACCAAATTACGCGATACTGAATTCCATGCTTGGTGAAGTTTTCAGGCGTTGGGAATTTACACAAAAAAATACTTGTCCTTGTGTCTACATAATATCATGAATTCCTTTCTTTAGGATACAATGAATATTTTCCGCAGATTCACACCGCCTGAAGACAACACCATTTATGGAACTCGAATTTCGTGATGATTTGATAAACATCATATTTTGTTTATATATTTTGTTATTATGTTTCTGTCTTATGATACTGAGCACTCTACACTTTTTAGCTTATCCTATATATATATATATATACATATATATATATATATATATATATATATAGCATAATGAGAAGACACGTATACTTTCTTAATATGTATATATAGAAAAGTTGCAAATTAAAAAAATAATCATGTTTTTTTATGAAAGTATTTATATATATATATATATATATATATATATATATATATATTTATATATTTGATATTTCAGATTGACCTCAATCTTTCTTCAGAAATAAATGTTTGTTACAAATAAATTGAAATTATTGTTTGTTTACAAGTAGCGTCCATCGCGAGACGCGGACGTCATGTGATATGGAACGCCACTGTGTTCGAATATTCCTAACGTAAATCTAACTCTAATAATATTTTATATGTTGTTTAAGAAAATAATTTTTTTTTTTTAGATATAGTTAAAAAAAATTTTTTATTATATATATATATATATATATATATATATATATATATGTACTGCGTATATTGATAGTAATCCCTGTGTAATACATTTTTAATTAACATGACTGACAAGGAACTTCTGTTATGTCTTTTAATGAATATTTCTTTCATAAGAATAACAGATTTAAATGAACATACTGTGTGTAGGAATTATTCAAATGGTTTTGCGTTACGAATACCTTTGGCTAATCATTTACACATTTTCAAGGATTTTGCTTGTTTTATATCCAGTTGTGTGTCAGTTACTGAGATATATATATATATTAGGAGATCAGTTGAATCCGCTACCTTCGTTTCATCCTGTTCGATACTACTGTTTCCTAGTCTAATTCGACTGTAACCATTAACCTTATATATATATATATATATATATATATATATATATATATATAATGAGCTTGTGTACAACAATGACAAAATGGCAAACCTTACTGGGCGCTAGAAAGGACAGGTACTTTTGGAGTCCTATAGTCTTTCCACCTCATTGCATATAGAAGGGGGAAAATTAAAAGCATCTAAAATGCCTTTTGGTTTTTTATTAGCTTATTAAGCAAATCAATTTCAACTCCTTAAAATGATTACTACATACACTCGTCAATACAGACCCCCACAGAACTTTCGCACACGGACACATACATTTTTGTATGTGCAGATTGGCCATCAACAATCTAGTAAACTGTGACCAATTTCAGATTCCCCTACTCTTTGATGTTTCTAGGAGCTGTATCAGCTATTTCTGAGCGCTTTTCAAACTCATTTCTACTTATCTTTTGTGTAAAAGGCTTTTGAAACCCTGTTGATGTTTAGCCCCTGTCATGTCTCCAATGAATGCAAAATATGTTTCCGTGTTGTGAAACACAAACAAAATACGCTGTCCATAATTGATAAGGTAAAACTTAATTTCCATTGTTTTCTTTTTCTTTCTTTTCCATTATTAACCAACATACACAGGGTCCTTTAAAAGGTAACATCAAATGATTAGCTTTTGTCAAGCATACTTAACATCACAGTCGATCAATTGACACCCTTGAGGTCCCAACGATGCCGTCTAGTGTTGGTCAAGTTGCAGATGGGGTATGGCGGAATATATTGCTGTACGGGGTCGGTTAATGCACTACGCATATTTCACAAACAAGGATCTATTCGTTTGCAAGTGGCATCAGCAAATGCAAATTAAGACCGTCTTCAATCCTACTTCATTCCTGGTTACAAGTCAAAACTCAGCAAATCGAGGCAGTTTGAAGAAAATTTGTGAAAAATCAGCGATTTTAGCACGGTAAGTAAAAAATATTTGTTGTTCTAATGTTTTTTTTCCAAGTCAAGTTCATTTGCAAATATGTTTATGCCCTTAGTAATATGATAAACTGCTATCATTTTTTTTTCTTTTGCGAGTTCGCTTGCCAAAGTTCTGTGAACAATGTTGGTCTCCCTCCAAGACTGTGAAAATTTACTTAGGTGGTGGTGTACGTTGATGCAAGAAAGAGGAAAAAATCGAAATTCTAACTGACACAACGGTGAAAAATCTTCTGTCAACGAAGAAGACGTGCACTGACAAGAAAATCTTAGGTGGTGGATGTAGGGGGGGTAAAAGAATGGAAAAGGAAAAGTAAGGGGAAGGAAGCACCTGTCGGCAAAGGAAGAATGAATCAAAGGAAGTCAAACCAATGGCTTTATCCTCAGATTGTGAATCAGATGTAATTGCGTATGGAAACTCTCGAGATGTGGGGGGGGGGCGAGTGCATGCAATGTTCGGGTTTTAGGAGAGAGAGCCCATGTGGAATATACTGATTTTGGTGTGATTAAATTTGTTTTTATTTGTCAGTGATACAAATGAGTAGATTCTTATTATTAAACATACATTTACACATTTATATACGTTCCTGGGCTTACTGTAATTTTCTTTCATTTCTAATGTTACATATACTTTTAAAATAGCATTTAAGCCCACTTTTTGCGTTGTTAATTCTTTTCATCGCTTCTTTTTTTTTAGTTGTGCATCAACATGCCCCACAAAGTGCATCAGTGTTCCCCAATGTATGGAGAAGTTTGCTGCATTTGACATGCTGTCATTATAGTATATTACGAAAAATCTGTATTCTATTCATTTCAAAGGATATTCAACAAATGGCCAATATATCGGAGTATATATATATGCCAAGTTTCAGATCAACCAGTGGGGATAATTTTGTTTAACGTCAATTAGGAAAAAAAGCATCAACGTTCCCGGTCTTACGCTATCTATTTGTCGATGAGTACAAGGTAGAAATTTGGATATTGTTACAAATAATACTTATCCTGTTATAGTCAGCTTCTCAATTTTAGCCTTGAATTATCTGTTTTTCGGTCGATATCATGGTATAGTCAACCTTACCTCTTTCCATTTGATATGGTTACCACCGGGTCTTGGAATTGTAACCGGCAATGTTTAACAATCTTACCCACAAAAAGACGGTGTATCAAAAGGGCTGTTGTTACTGCAAATATTTTTACTTCCACGGCAACGTTTATTTAAAAGATTATTCAAAATATGCGTACTGATTAAAATTTGATATTCATTATTTATATTTTGAAAAATTTATTATTTACTATTTATTAATAAAATAAATTTGGAAAGGAATCTTTATATTCCAAAATTTATAAAGAATTACAAATTTATTAAAATATGTAAATGGAATGCTGAGTGAACGCCCTGAATCACTTACAGACGTATACCATTATGTTCAATTTTATATTGTCTGACATACAAGAGAGTATATATACAAAAGACACGAGGTGCTGTCCAAGGGCATCACTTAAGTTCAATCCAGAGACGTGAATTTCTAAGTGAAGACATTATGACTTGGAATATTTTTGATGAATATTTATTAACGACAACAGTTCCTTATATTAATCCCTCTGAGATGAAAAACATTTTAAAAAGGGAAAATAATTCTGATCTGAAAAGCAAATCTATTGAGATTTATTTCCTGATACTATTAATTTGGTTAGACTAGAAAAATCGTCAGAAATGCACGATTAAAGATTAAAAGATTAAATATCATTAAATAAGTCTAAAAAATACTTTGAGGCAAAACATAGCTTTCCTTTCCTACATTTTTCTTTTCTTTCATTTTTTCTTTCCTTTCATTTTTCCTTTCCATCATTTTTTCTTTTCTTTCATTTTTCTTTTCTTTCATTTTTCTTTTCTTTCATTTTTTCTTTTCTTTCATTTTTCTTTTCTTTCATTTTTTCTTTTCTTTCACTTTCCCTTTCTTTCATTTTTTCTTTTCTTTCATTTTTTCTTTTCTTTCATTTTTCTTTTCTTTCATTTTTTCGTTTCTTTCATTTTCCCTTTTCTTTCATTTTTTCTTTTCTTTAATTTTTCCCTTCCTTTCATTTTTCTTTCATTTTTCCTTTTCTTTCTTTTTTCTTTTCTTTCATTTTTTCTTTTATTTCATTTTTCTTTTCTTTCATTTTTTCGTTTCTTTCATTTTCCCTTTTCTTTCATTTTTCCTTTTCTTTCATTTTTTCTTTTCTTTCATTTTCCCTTTTCTTTCATTTTTCCTTTTCTTTCATTTTTTCTTTTCTTTCCTTTTTTCCTTTCCTCTCATTTTTTCCTTATTTCCCTGCTATATAATCTAAAATTATTCTCTTTGTTTTCTTTGTTTCGTTGTTTCTTTAATTAGTTGTTACTTTTCCAGTTCCTTCTCATCTTCACGACATTTTCAAGAGATTATTTAACTTTCTTCTTTGGGTAAATATATCTTTCAAAAATCTGAACATAGTTTTAGCAAACAGGAAGACTTCGTTTGAAACAAAGTAAAGCGTGTTGGACTGCTGTGTAATATAAGTCCGCCTATGAGGCAGTGAATGCTGGTCAATTTTCTCAGAGCTGTAGACGAGCCTTCAGGCAAAAGAAATGTGCTTCTGTAGATGGATTCTGAGAAGAAAATGGACATCGAATTTCAGCATCGAGCAAGTTTTAAGGGAAAAGGACAGAAACAGAGTTGAAATTTCAGCGGCACATCATGAAGAAAGAGGGCTTGGAGAATTTGACGCACACGGATCTTACTGAAAACAAAAACGTCAGAGGAAAGAAGCGATATATATATATATATATATATATATATATATATATATATATATATATATATATGCAGATACAACAAACTAAGTTATTGGTAAAATCAGCTCAAAGCCTGTCAAGAGACAAAATAAAAACACAAGCCAAAATGCATAACAGAAACTGAGAAGAAAAGAATAAACAAACAGCCACTTAGCTAAACAATAATAGACAGTGCTGTGTGCTTAAATGAGCGATACAAACAAATACACTACACGGCGACATTACACAAAAAGAGACAAAGTACTGACCGCTACTTGATTTCACGCTGCTGCGATCGTCATTACTGTAAACATTATGATTATATCTGGTATTTTTTAAATTGCAATTACGGACAGACACATTATGGTAAGCAACTAATGCACTGAGTGTGTTGTTTTACAAAATATTTTGTGTTCATATAACCATTTAAAATATTTTGTGTTCATATAACCATTTAATTTAATACCTTGAGGTTTCACTTATGTACTCTTTGAGGCAATTATTACAGGTGATACAGAATTCCTCCTTGAAATTTTACCTTATTATCTTGTTTTCTGTTAATTCTTTTGTTGTATTGTAAGTACACTATTTACATTACTCGGACTATTGTCCTCATCTTCGTCGCCATAATTATTACAACGTTTCGGTTGAATACAATATGGGAAAGAGTAATAAGGTGTGCCAGAGAAAAGCGATAATAACAATAAAAATTGCAATATGAGCACTGGTATAAAAGTATACAAGAAAACTGGAAGACCTCATTAGCAGTGGTAGCTACAGCAAAGTGAAAAAGTATCCTACTATGAAAACGGAACGCAAACTGTCACAGATCCTAATCAAGAACAAGGATCACTTCGCACCCAAGACGTATAGGCAGTTATCGCAGCATTACACCAAGCTACCTCACATATACGGTCTCCCTAAGATTTACAAAGACGGTATTCCACTCAGGCCGATTGTTAGTTGCCAAGGCTCTGTGTGCCACCCTCTGAGTCGCTTCCTTGTAGATATAATTGACCCATTGATCGGAAAGTCTCCTTCATATGTCCGAAACTCCGCCCACTTCGTGGAAATAATCAAAGATGCTCCCATCCTATCCAACTAGATGGTGAGCTTGGACGTGGTGAGTTTGTTCACCAAGGTACCCACGGAGGAGGCACTCTCAGTAGTCAGAGACAGATTGACCTCTGACTCTTCCAAAGAAGAACGGACCAGTATTCCAATAGATAATCTGATGGAGATGTTGACTTTCTGTACACAAACAACACACTTCGGAATGGGATCGCACATATATCGACAGGATGAGGGCTTAGCAATGGGCTCGCCATTATCACCAACAATGGCGAATATATACATGGAATACTTTGAAGAAATGTCATTAGAATCTATATCTTTAAAGCCAACTATATGGTTACGGTACGTAGATGACACCTTCATACTCTGGCCACACCAGGAAGATATTCAGGTTCTACTGGACCATGTGAACTCAATAAGACCTTCGATACAGTTCACAATGGAGAAAGAGAGTAATAACACACTCCCATTCCTGGATGTACTAATATCTCGAACAGAGCATGGGTTCAAGACATCCGTATACCGTAAACCAACATTCAACGGACAGTACCTCAATTACAACTCCCACCATCCATACAGCGTAAAGAAAGGGATCGTCCGTTGCTTACAACATCGAGCAAAAGTCATAAGTGGCGACCCAGAGACGTTAGATAAGGAATTGGTCAGTATAAGTAGTACCCTACAACGTAACAACTACCCTGGGTACATGGCAGCAGCCCCCCAAAACTGGGATAGGCGGGTACAAGAGGAGGAGGAGGACAACAACACTCAGAAAACAGTCTGCCTGCCTTATGTGAAGGGGTTATCAGAGAAAATACAAAGGATCTGCGGACAATATAACATCAGGACAACCTTCAAAAGCGTGACAACACTTCGCAGATATCTCTCTCGAGTGAGACCCCCCGCAGAGGAGAACATGACTAAACATGACCGTGCCGCTGCGGAAAGTGCAAAAATTCATGTCTGAAGTATTTATGCAAGTCATTTTGGATCCTTCTTCATTAGTAATTCTATTGAAGAAATCCTCGAGCGTGTAGCATGTAGTCGATGTTTCATCCAACGATTGTACTGGATTGTCTCTCGGACAAGGGCGTGTCCCGCTTTCTCTGCTAGCTCTCCTTGAATTGATAGGAAGTCTTGGTGCCAAGCCTGAAGGGATGAGTTGTAGGTCTCTGCATCGGTGTAGGAATGTCAGATGGTTCGATATTCGTGCCTGTTTCTGGTAGGATTTCTCAATTTGTCTCCATATTTTTGGTATATCGGGTCCGTACAATCCTTCAGAGTCTATCTCTATTTCTGAGATAAGGTATTATGTACAGTATTTACATTAGTCGGACTACTGTCCTCATCTTTGTCGCCATATTTGTCACAACGTTTCGGCCGTTGTACGCTCGGGTGGTTGGAATTTCGAACTGAACCCTTTATTTCGACCTCTGGGGTAGACTGTTCTAGTTCCACGTGCCATGTTTGATGGATGTCAGTTATCAGTTATCCTGCTAATTTTCCTTTTGAACTAATTTTGCCTTAACCGGGTATTGAACTCACACTCTTTGGGTCCTGTCACTGGATCTAACCAACGCCTTTAACCACTGTGCCATGTGTCCTTGAGGACATCTGGGTATGAACTTCTAGGTATTATGAAACTAATGTTTTCACCATCATTTTTTACCAGTGCTCATATTGCAATTTTGCTGTTATCATTGCATGTTTTTACCAGAGTTCATATTGCCACTTTGTTATCATTGCTTTTCTCTGGCACTCCTTATTACTGGGTCCCATATTGTATTTATTTCTATGCTTGTTCGGCTCAGGAGATTTTTGTGGCCTAGTATATGTGCTGATTCCTTAAGTTTTCGAATTTTCCAATGGTGTTCCCTGTCTATGATCTCAACATGATCCCACAGGGGACGGTGATCTCCCTTCTCTCTCCACATGTGGTCAGCCACGCCTGATTTTTCTACTTCCCCTCGCGTTACAGCTTTCTTTTGTTCTTGAAGCCTTACCTAAATTAACAGGAGATAACTGAAATCCATTAAACATGGCACGTCTCGTCAACTGATGCCAAAAGAATAAATAGTCAGTGCAACTTTGGTTTGGTTTATTTTGTTTAACAGTATATAAACCTCAATGGGCTATTTAATGCCGACAACATTTTTAGGATAGATTCGTATGAATAGAATATATTTTTTGGTTTAGATTGGTTTGGTTTATTTTGTTTAACGGCATAGAACAGCTTACCAAAGCGAGCGAAATAAAGGGTTAAGTTCGACATTCCAACCACCTGAAAAAGGCCGGAGCCTACAACAGCCGAAACGTTGTGATAAATATGACAACAAAGATGAAGACAATAGTCTGAATAATGTAAATAGTGTGCATAATACCTCGTCTCAGAGATATTGACAGATACGTTTTTGGAAGTAATTGAATGCTTTTCATTTCTAGTGGTTATCGTATCAGTAGCTAATATTTTTTGATTCATTGAATTTGTCAGAATTTTGTCATTAATTTTCCTATCATTGTTCTGATATAAAGGAGGGTGGAATAAATATAAACTGCTCTCTGGAGAAGTTTATAGCACACTGACACTTACCGGGCGCAGGGATACGTCCCTGCGCTTGTATTATCACGATGACTGGCTTGGTCCGGCTCTGACCAGCTATGTCCAGCTTGGAGAAACTATAACCAGCTAAGACCAGCGGCCCGGGTGAAGACACTGGGGTCTCCACGTTAAAAAAAAGTTGACCTTGTGTCACAACCTGCCTCAGCGGGGTGGTCAAGGAGAGCCCATACAAGCAGGAATAACACAAGGTCTGAATATCGCTGGAGCCGTGAAATGGACAGTGGCTATACATATCTTTCCATCTTTACACACACATATATACACAAGCATACACATACTCCATATTAACTGCATCTGATACATTATTTCTTCATTTTTTTATATTTAGAGCTATGCAGGTATATGTCCTAAAATGTGGCGAAAACGGTAACAATGATCTCTATGACTGATATTTGACCATCACTTTGCACTTCTCAGTGTTGGATGTAATAGTTGCGTGGTAGCCGTGGTCAGTTGTAGAGAGAGAGATATGATTCTGACCACGGCTTTTCTAGAAAAGGACGCACTACTCAGTTGGATAATTGGAAAGACACAATCTTCTTGTACAATTCACTTTTCAATTGCCGCACTGAACGCCACTGAGTAAATATTTATAAGTGCCTCGTTTTCAGGAATAGTTTTATCAGTGAGCGGTGCCCTTTGAAAAATGGTCGCCAAAGTAATACGAATTAACAATCGTTGCTTTCTTGGATCTTCAATTTCGTTTTAATCAGCGCATCCATATACACGATATCATTGACTAGAATATGGTCAAGCCATGGAATTTATCATTGCAATGATCAGGCCGTCTTGTAAAAAAAAAGAAACAGCAGCTAATGATAAGTTTTAATTTGATTTTTCTGAAGACGGTTTTTAATTAGGCATTTCAGACATCTTGACGCTTGTTT